TGTGGGACCCACCCCAGTGAGGGTAGGGGTTGATTCCATAGTGACTGTGGAGCATCCATCACCCACTTGGTGGTCAATGTAATGGCATTGCCAGCTCCAGTGTCTGTCCCAAGAGTGGTTACTGTGGTGTTTTCATGGGTATGACCTTGGACATTGTTTCTGGCTGCATACCCTTCAAGCCTGGTTTCCAGAGATGTGAGCTACCTAAAATGCCACCTCTCTTAAAAGGGTAACAAACAAATGAATCCCCTTCCTGCTTACATCAGCTAGATTTAATTTCTGTTGCTTGTAAATTGGAATTGACACAATACTTATTCTACTTGATGATCTGACCCCCAAATAATCTTTGCTGATTGCATGCCTCAGCTAGGATACTACTATTAAAAAAATTCTGTTTTATGATCCTACGAAGACAGGCACAGCTAGTAAAATGTGTTATAATTTTTGGTTCAGAAAATGTGATCATGGAGCCCATTAGAGATGCTTTTTCAAACTGTCAAGTTGCCTGCAAGGGCCTCCATGCACAAGAACGGGCCAGCAGTCACCACCTCAAGCTGGCACTGGGCTGATGTCAGGGTTGCATGGAGCCCACACACTCCTGGGATCCCAACACCTTTGCCCCTGGGCTTGGAACTGCAGGTTCCCTTCATACCCTGACCACATAGATCTGGTCCTCCCCAGGGATTTGGGTTTTGTGGCTACTTCCTTGGACTAGCTTTTTTTTTTTTTTTTTTTTTAAAAAAAAGATTGATTTATTTATGCATATAAGAACTGGGATACAGGCCAGAGGTGCAGGGGTGGGGGTGAGAGGATTCACCAGAGACAGAGTGGGGAACAGAACAGGCAGATCGAGTGAAGTACACTGATGAGGGGAGCAGCAGGCAAGTCAGGAGAGGTCTGCTGAGCCATGTGGGTAGTTCCCTGGCTGGGGATTGAACTTGTGCTGCAGTGGCTGCTGATAGCTTCATAGGTTGTGTCTTAACGCCTTGTGCCACCAGGGAGGCCCCGGACTAGCTTTCCTTATACCTTCTTGTGCCAACTGCCACTGTTAGTCCTACTGAAGCAGGAAGTTGCTAAGTCTGCTGTGGGGGAGTTTGCTGCTTAAATTCTGCTGCTTGCTGGAGCAGAGAAGTGGCTGGGTATACTTCTTGTCCACAGAAGTAGCCACGGCTACCTTGGCCCTCTTCACCCCCTTCCCAAACAATAAAGAATACTTATGCTATGATGGATGGGGTGACAAGCTTCCTCATACAACCTGTATAAAACCCTGCCATTTCTGTTCTTCGGGGTTCAGATTTTTGGGAGCAATGCCACTGAGGCTGCTGGTGTGACAATTAAATCTCTCTCTCCTTCCAACTCTCTGAGTGCCGTCTGATTTCTCTGGGAAATTGCTGTAACACTACTCCCTGACGCAGGCCTACCCCCGTGGCACACACCTGCCGTGGCCTGTCTCCAGTGTCTTATTTTGCCAGGACCCTTGTGATACCTGTCAGGCCTATGGAGATGAGTGGACTTAGGTGCTGGTTCTCCACTGGTAGATTTTAAGAAGGTTCCTTATGGTTTAAGTCATCTCTTCTTGGGACTCTGGCCCATTTCCTGTTATTGTTTCTTAAACTGGGTCAAGTGTAATATTTTTCTCCCAAGTGTAGCTGGCACCCCAACATGTAGGTGGGAGCAGCTCATTCGTCTTTAGTGCTTGCCATTCCTGTTGGAGCCTGGCATGGTGGGGCAGAGCTGGCCAGTTCCTTCACTTATTTCAGTCTTTTTGAGCTGGTGTCCCTTCTCCTTTTGCTCCCCGGGGCTGCACAGGGCAGCTGAGGGTGTGGTTCTGTCGACTGTCCCGTCCTTCTCCAGCCACTTGTGGGCCTGTCCCGAGGGTGTGGCCTGGTTTCTGGGAAGGGTTACTGCTCTGGAGACAGGGCTGCCATGGAGTTGAGCAATGTGTTTGCTCCCTTTGGGCACAGCCTGGTGGCCTGGGTGACCCCGAGGCTCAGCTGGTGGTAGGAGCTGTGTCTATTAGCTGCCATCTGTCCTCTGAGGTGGAGGGCTTTGGGGGACTTTGAAACGCTCTGCACAGGACAGTGAGTCTCCAGATAGCCCACTTCAATTGTGGCCTCCATGCTGAGAGCTTGAGGGGCAAAGGGCTGAGCCGGTGAGTAAAGGAGCACCCCAGCTCTGGGGAGAGGGCGCTTGGCACTGCTCCTGCCGTGGCCAAGCAGCTTCAGCTCTCATCCTCTTAAAATAAATAAATAAATAAATAAAGAACATTTGTCCACTTACATCAGCACTTACCGCAAACTCCCTCCTAAGTCCTCAGATCAGCTAAGCACCTCCTAAATGGCTAAGGCAGAGTGATGTCAGCTGGTACTGTCTCCACCAAACTCCATGGTGACGCCTCAAGAACTTTATATTCATTTGTTCATGTCCCAAGTCCACTGACTGTTGACATATTTTCTGCTCAGGGTTTTGTATACAGTAAATATCTGTTGAGGATTAAGCTGTGCTCACAGAGAAAAGGCCAAGATCTGCCTCTCTCTTGCCTTTATACAAAGCTTCATCTTCTGATTGTCTTTATGGCTTCACTTAGAGGACTACTAACCTGGGATCAGAAAACACTATCCCTTGACTTCTCACATAGCCAACAGAAATTTAACATTCTGTTCAGTGATGAAGGTAACAAGGAGCCGCCATACCCAATTGAAGTTGTCGATGTGTTTATTTCATATTAGGTATTGAAAATACTTTGAAATGACACTTATCTCACCAGTACTTTGAACTGACTCTAGCTAATTAGACTTGTTGCTATGGCTTGTTATTTATTGCATTAATAAACTTGTATATATATTCTAAACAAATTAATGTATTTTATATTTTGATAACTGCATTTCAGTGGAATTGATTTCCTTTGGAATCATGTTTTATTTATTATGCCTTTAAAGATATTTGGGAAGAGAATCCACAGCACGCCAAAGTCAAGACTCCCTGGCTATACCATGCCTTCTGGCGCCTTGAGGTTTGGTCAGTGTCCAGTCGGGCTGGGGGCTGATAGAGCAGGTTGGGATAAAGTGAGGTGAATTTAAGCCTGTTGGCTTCAGAGGAGCCTCTGATGGTACAAAGGGAGATGCTGCCCACTAGTGGCCAGCTTCCCTGTCCATGCCTGGCTTTGGGTTGATGGTTTCTTGGTACTTGTGTTTCAAAGAAGAGAACAAAAGATAGTGGTTCTACTCTGCCTACATCGCCAGCCTCATCGCTTGAAACTCTCTCCCTCATTCTCTGTGCTCCAGCCACTTCTGCTGTCTTTCAGTATCTGGGGAGCTCCCTTCTGCACATGGGTGTGTATGCCTGCTGCTGTCCCTGTGCCACTGCCCGGCCTCATCTCTCTCCCTCCGTATCCTGGAGTTGATCCTCTGCCCTCCTGGCCTAGGCCAGGCTCCTTAGCAGTAATCCTTGAGTAGACCCGTGCTTGTTTCTTTGAAGCCCCTTCTCGGTTTGCATGATCTTTGGGGAGATGTTTTGTTTGACACTTGTCACTGTACTAAGGTCAGGGACTGTTTGACGCCAGTACCCCCGTGCCAGCCTAAGGGTGCCTGTAACTTTTATTGATGAAGAAAGAGTTTTAAGTGGAAAATTCACAGAGGGGCTGGGAATGCTCAGAGAACAGATTTAGGTCCACAAAAATAAAGCCAGATGGCCTCTCCCTACATATGGAACCCCATTTCCTCCATACCCCAGTGGTCCTGCTCACATCAGTAACACAGTAGCTCAGGATAGCTACGGTGGATACAGCATGGCAAAGCTGAAGGTCTGGAGACAGATGGCGCAGGCTGGGATCCTGGCCCTGATGCCTCCCTCCTGGCAATCGCAGCCTCCTGTGCCTCAGGTGTTCCTCTGGCAGATGGTGAGCCACGTAGTAGCTCTGGCCGAGGATGACCAAGGGTGTTCCTGAGGTGACATAAGTGAAGCATAAGTGAAGCGTGTTGCAATTACTGATCCAATGAGCCCCGAGGAAAAGAGCCAGCCAGGCTGGAGGGCCCTCTCACCCTCCCTAGGTTTAGATCCCAGGTAAGCCGTGCAGCAGGCTGGGTCTGGCTCCAGCTTCTTCTCCCTGCTCAGCTCTGTTGGGATATTTTTCCTCAGAAGCTCCTCCTGTCTCTCGCTGGACCTGGTCTGTGTGTCCATGTCTCCACTTCTCCCGGTGGAAAAGTGAGCATGCAGGCTCATGTGCTGGGCTCGCTGCCTTGGGGACAGGCCTGTGGCTACACGTGCCTTCTGAGCTTTTCATACACAGTCCTGCCTGATGCGTGCTCCAGAGGATCACAAAATTAGTTTGCTCTGGATTAAAAGGGGGTTCTGACATTTGCATCATGCTTGGCATGGAAGTTTACAGACTATATTAGGACTCAATAAATAGCAGTCGTTGTGATTTACCTATTAGAAAATAGTGGATAATCAAGAAAGTGCAAATCTGCCTTCCTAACTCATAGAACCATGCCAAGTACCTAGCGCAGTGTCTGGCACTTTCACAGCAAGCACACGGAGAGGACTGAAGCAAGAATGGATGACCCACCCAGGGCGGATTTTCCTCCTCCAGGCAATTGGGTTTGCAAGTGCTTGACTCAGTTCTGGCCACTAGAGGGCAGGAGCAGTTCAGGCAATAACACTCTGGAGCACCCAGACCCAGAATTGATAAGGTAGGATGTTTGAAGGAAAAAAATGTTAGAATGTTTGAAAAAAGCCAGGTCTCTTGGGGAATAAATGGAAAGGAGTCTATGGCTTGTGGTATTGAAATTAGACTTAAAAGAGAACTTCCAGTGTGAGTTTGCTGACTAAATCTTTTATAGGTAACTTTTTAACCAACCCTCCCACCCGCTGCACCCCCAAACTACATTTCCCTAAGCAGATGTGATGAGGTGGGCTTTTCCCAATCTGAGTCCTATGTGACCCGCCCTGGGCTGGGCCCTTTGTATCTGACTTAAATGACTCCATTCTACAGATGCGATCATAAAATAACTTTATTGGTCAGGTTAGCCACCACGCGTGCGTTTCCAGTACTAAGGGTCCTTTATAGGGGCACGGCGGTGTTCACATGCAGATGCTTCCCAAGAGCCCCAGCGGGGGCAGCCTTGCCCTCGCAGCAGAACTCCTTCGTTGAAATGAGCTGGTTTGGCTTTTGTGGATTTCAGGATCTGGAGCCAAGAACATAATCCAAGGTCCCTCCTTTGCTTCTCAGGGAAGCAGTTTCAAAGCACAAGGATGCAGTGACATCAGGGCAGGCCAGATGAGGCCTGGCTCTCCCCAACCAGCCTCTACCCCAACTGCAATCCCACTGGTACCTCAAAGGTCACAAGGGTTGGGCCCCAGGCAAGTTACCTTTCAGAAATGGGAAGAGTTCACTGCTCTCAGCCAAGCTACAAAGCACCAGGTGTCTTCAGTAATGAGGGGGTATCTGGGAGACGTGCAAGCAGCGGACTTCAGCTCAACACAGGCTGCAGTTGCCTGGCCTGGGCTTCGGTGCCCAGGGAGCATGTCCATCCAGAGCTGGTACTTCTAACTGTGGTCTTAGGACGAATTAATTCCCATAGATGAACCACAGCCTACTCCTCCGGACTAGCAGGCAAGCCCAGGGCTGGCTGGAGTCTGCGCCCCCCATGCCCCCCATCAAGATCTAGACCTTTCTGTTGCCTAAGAGGAGAGGAAACATGACCTTTCTCACACTTCGAGACACATGGCCTCCACCTTGAGTATAAAGACCCAGAGGGGAGCTGCGGGGAAGGCGCCAGTGCAGACAGGGCTGCTGCCTCAGTTCTGGCCTTTGGAGGGCTTTGTCCCCGCGGTGGGTGCTGATGTTAAGCAAAGCCTGGTCTTTTTTCTTTTGAAGTCTGATTCACCTTCAAAGAATGGCCTAGCTGCTAAAATATAGCCTCGTACATTTATCTAAGCCGAAGGCTGGCTCTCCCCTCCTGCACACTCCACAAAGATGGTCATCACACTAGAGGCCCCCAGCTGATGGCTTCCAGGGGTGAGGCTCAGGAGGGCAGGCCTCAGACACAGGGGTGGGCTCTCTGCACAGGTTCATGCCTGGGGTCTCTGGCCTCTGCCTAAGGCATCGAAGAGCTGACTGTGGACCAAGTCTGAACAGATGAGGTGGACTCAGGAGGAGGCAGCTGGGCCGGAGGTATACTCTGAGGAGCAATGAGTGGGAGCCCACAGTAACTGCAGGACCAGCCCCTGCACAGGAGAGCTTCGAGGGCGGCCCAGAGGCGGGGGATAGTAAAGTATGCGCGGGTACTATTGGCCAAGCAACTTTTAACCTTCCACAACTGACCATTGGGAAGAACTCAAGGGAAGTGAGGTTTCTGGGAATGGGTTTTTCAGGGATGACTCCCTCTGCCGCCACTTCTGGCCTGAAAAAGGGCTCCCCAGTATTCCACAGCAGAAGGCTACCTGTCCCCATGCCACTCACTTCCCTACAGGGAAAAAGACTAGAGAGGTAACCCATGGATTCTGTCAGAGGGTCTGTCCTAGACTTTCCAGCAAAAGCCAAACCAAACCATCAAGCCAAATGCAGTGGGGCACGGGGGCCTCCCCTTGCCCAGTGCAGGGCCCTCAGATCTCAATGAGGCTGGCCAGGCGCAGGCAGAGCGGAGCGTCCACCGGCAAGGCGCTGCGCGTGATCTCGTTCCCGTCCAGACGCAGCACCTGCAGCTTGGAGAAGTTCATGACGTCTACCACGCTGCAGAAGCTGCTGATGGAGAACTCTGTGGAGACAAAAGGGAAGATGGATGGGAAAAGGCCCTATGAGGGACCCCGATCCACGCGAGGCCAGGCAGCCTCGGCGAACCATTTTGAATACCTCTGAAGCAGGCTGGGCGCTTGGGGCGGGCCTGTTTTCCAGGATTGGAGTCTTACCGACTTGCACCGCTAGGGGGCAGAACTAGCCACAGAGTGGGGCCCCCAGCTCCAGCTCCTACCCATTGGCCAACTGCACAGAACCCGGCAGCCTTGGAATGTCCTTGAGTGTCCTTCCAGCCAAGACCGGATCTTTTTCCATCTCTAGCAGCAGGGGAAAGCAGAAGGTGGTCAAAGACTTGCCCTAGAGCTTTGGCGTGCTCGGTTGCTTTTGGAGAGACAGGGCTTTGCTGAATTATTATGAGAAGGGAGACCGGGGACATGGAAGGACTTAAATTCGGATTATATGCTGCCGCTTTGCAGATAGAAAAAGGGGCGGGAAATTAAAAAGAGAAGCCAGGGCCGAAAGACAAGTGTCCGCGAGCTGGAGCCTTAGGAGGGGTGCGCATCCCCATTCGCAGTATCGCCCCTGGATGAGCACGAGGCTAACAGACACGGAAACCCAGATGAACAGGCGCTGCCGAGAACATCCAAAGTCGAATAAATAACCCTGCGGCCCTGCACACGATTATGACCCACTCTCTTCGTTTGTTAAAAAATCTCAAACGACGCCCCCTTTTTGGAAGATTTCCCTCCAAACCATATAACCCTAGTAGGTATAATAGTTCTCTTTGGGACTAATATACAGCCTTCTGCTGCTGTTCCCCTGATGCCCCTCTGGCTTCCTCTTGAAAAACCAGCCACCTCTATCTCCCACCTCGGGGACTGGAACTTGAAAGGCAAAAACCAGGAGCTCAGTTAGTTCTCCCACAGGAACAGTGCAAGTCACCAGCTGCTGAGGACTCTGGGACACCAACGGGTTGCAGAGAGGCTTCTGCAGGTTGCTCTTCTCACAGGGACTTTAGGAGAAGTCACCCCTGGACCTGGAGGGTGGGGTCCAGCATGGGTGAGTCTGCAGGGCCGTGAAACTTGGGTACAACTGACTGGGGCAGGTGTTTATTAGCTGGCTGAGGTGGCCAGGGGCTGCGTGTCACCTGTAGCAGGTGGCCAGTGGCTGCGTGTCACCTGAAGAGGGTGGCCAGGGGCTGTGTGTCACCTGGAGTGGATGGCCAGAGGTGACCTTTTTGGTGGGTAACCATAGAGGGCGTCATGGAGGGAGAGGTTATGGAAATGAAAGGAAGGAAGACTGTGTGGAGAGCTCTAATAGGCTGATGAGGAAAGTGTTTTGAAACAAGGACTGTGGATTCCCTCCAGTCTCTGTTAAGAACTGGCTGAGATGGGCTGGGGTGAGGCTGGGGTGGAAGAACTCATGCTGTGGACATGACACAGGAAACCCAGCCCAGAGAACATGGGCTCAGGAAGAGCGGAGGAGATGGCTGATGCCCTTCTTTGGGGAGCACTCAGGGGGTAAGAGATACGGAATGTGCCCTTTCTGGCCCTGGGGGACAGATCAAGTGGTCTCTGGGTGGAGTGGGCAGTGAGGGGCTGAGCCTCGGCCAGAGGCTGGGTCTGAGGTGTGTGTAGAAGGCGTGGGGCGGGCCGGGCTGGGGAGAGGTGCAGTGGCCCGGCTTGTACCTCACTCTCGGGGCTGTGCCATAGGCTCCATGATAGTCTCTGCCCCAGCCCAGAGCCCCAGGCAACGGGCGGGGCAGGCAACGGGCGGGGGGCATTTGTGGGACTGCTAGACACGCAGTGTTTGTAGGCTGTCCACACACCAGGTACCCTGAGCCCCTGTGTGTCTTCCCTGATCTCAGGAATAGGACAGGGCTTCTGCCTGGACACCCAGGGGGACATTTTCCAGCCCAGATTAAACACTGACACAATCTTTCCAAATTCCTCCTTGCATACCCACCCTGTTCTGCTGGATCCCAAAGCTACCGAATAACATTCGAGCAGTGTTCCCTGGCTGCTGCCAGGCTGGAAAAACTGAGGGAGATGCTAATGGAAGAAGGGGAGGGCTGGTCTCACTCACTGTACCACCTTTGGTTCCTGTCCTTCCTTCAGGTCCTCCCTTAGAGCATGGCTTCAACCCCACCTTTGCCACCCGCACCTGCAGTCCCCGCCTGGCTATGTGGGGAGACCCATCACATTTGCCTGAGAAGAGGAACTGAGCTTGGGACACTCTTTCCTGCTGGGGGCCTCAACCACTTGCTAGCCCTCACACCCTCAGCCAGACACTCTTGGCTCTGAAGGGGGCTTCAGGTGACCCCTTGGTAACTTGGGGAGATTGCTTGTCTTTCTGCACAGCTCAGTCTCACCATCCTTTGCAATGCAAAAACAAAAAAAGCAAGGAAAAAAACGCCCCAAATTGAACCAAACGATGCCTGTCAACTTGGAAATGGCAATAAGAAGAAAAGGCAGAGCGGAGTTCAGGGGATGCCAGCCCTGGACCAAACTCTTTACATGCAGTGATTCATTATTATGAAAAATAAGGAGTTGGTGTTATTTCTCCTAAAGAGAAATAATTTATTTCTCCTAAATTCTCCTGAAGAGGATTTGGCCTAATTTGCAAAAGAAGGGTTGAGGGGTGGACATCAAACATTTTTAAGTTGTTTGATTTGAGGGAGAACTGTCTTCCAAGGCCTCACGACACTGGTCATTTTACCTCTGGCAGCTGGCGTGGCTCTGGAAGGGGTGGCCTGTGCCCAGTTTGAGAGGCTGAGGGGGTTCTGCAGGAAGGCAGAGTGCCGACAGGGGGCCGCGAGGAGGCTCTTCCCACTGTTTCTTTGCTGGCAGAGTCCAGCACTGCCAGAGGCTTTTCCCAGAACAGCTGCTGCTTGTGTCACGTGTCCAGGGCCAGACTCTCATGCGGCACCGCATACGTGACATTTCTGATGGGACTGTCTTTCTGGGTTCAGAGGGGTGGCAGGGAGGGATGGTGGCGTCTGGGCGGGAAGTGACCAGTCCAGGGAAATGTCAAGTGCTTCGCAGGACCTTAGAGAACTGCTCGTCTTGGGGCTTCGAACCCCCAAAGGAAGAGAGACGGGACATATCAACCGTCCTGGGCTGCGCGCGGGCGTGTTTCACACTTCAAACCAGAGGCCAGACACCCTTTCCCTTCCCGCCTCACAGTCGCCCTCTGGGACTGGCCTCTGTCGCTCAGGGGACTGTCCAGCTTAGTAACATCTTGCCGGACGACTGGTCCATCTGTCCCAGCCCTCAGGGAGAGAAAGTAGCCGAGAACGAAGGCTCAGGCCCTCCCTGGGCTTCACCGGTGCTGCAGACGCCACAGGCTTCCCTTCGGAGCCCTTGGCCTTGGTCATTGATGAGTCCTCCCTCCCGGAGTCCGGGGAGAGGAGCACTCTGCTCACAGAGGAAGGGGGGTGAGATGCTGGCTCAGTCCCTTCCAGCTGGAATTAAGACTTCGGCGGCCCTGGGGTCAGGTAAGCACATTCTGCGCACTCGGCTCGGACGGGGGGCAGCCAGCCTGTGCAGCTGGAGTGAATACTTTAGTTTTAGAGGCGAGAGGCAGCCCGTCGGATCCTTCAGGCATTTTCTGGGAAGTGCCTGGAGAACAAAAGGCCCAGTGTCCTTGCCCTCCACCCAGGGTGCTGGGGGGCAGGCTCCTGACACCCTAAGACCCGCCCTGTCACCAGGGGCTCCTTACACTCCAGGAGGAGCTGACCAGAGCAGGCGCCGCAGGCAGCCCGGAGAGGCTGCTCGTCCTTGTCCCCCAGCTGTTTTGTTAAAAAAAAAAAAAAATTAAGTAAACATCGATACACAAGACTGGATGTGGCGGCAGGAGTAGATGGCGAGGAAACAGAGAGGGCATCCCCTTCTGGGCAAGGAGGGGGCGCAGGGGCCCCGGACAGATCCTAGCAATTCAGCTGAAGTCCCTCGATGAAGGGCCCTTGCAGCCACCCCAAGTTATTCTCTCACAGGTCTTCAACATACTGCTGCCTTCCTCGCCTGCCTTTCCTGGCTGTCCCCTACAGGCGGCCCCGTGCATGCTTGTGGCACTACAGGCTTGTGGCACTTCCCCTCCCCAGAACGGCTTCCCCCTGTCCGTCCACTAACTTCTCACGACTTAGATTGAAACTTACCTCTTCTGGGAAGCCTCCCCCACACCAGCCTAAGCTTCTCCAGCACTGCGCTTAGTCTAAGGTACCCCATTTTCTACCTTGGGGGCAGGGGGCGATTTGGCTTTCGGGCTGCTGCTTGTGCTCCTGGGTCCCTACCTCCACTGCTGTGGTATGGCACTCAGAATGGGGTCTTTCCATGAAACAGCCACCCCACATCCCTTGCCAAGGCCTCACCATTGATCCTGTTGCCTTGGAGGTAGAGGTTCTCCAGGTTGGTGTTGACGGGGGGGATCTTCTGAAGCTGGTTGTAGGAGAGGTCGAGCTCCAGGAGGCTGCTGGAGTTGAAGGTATTGGAGGCCAGGCCGTTGTTGGTGAGGCTGTTGTGGGACAGCCGCACGTACAGCAGCTTGGGTGACCCCCGGAAGTAGCTGTCGGGGACTGAGTAGACGTTGTTGTGCTCCAGGTACAGCTGCTCCAGGGCAGAGGGCAGGCCGTCCGGCACCTTCCGCAGGTGGTTGTAACTCAGGTCCAGCAGGATCAGGGCGCCGAGGCCCCTCATGGCGCTGCCCACCTCCTGGATCTCGTTGTGCTGCATGTACAAGGCCGTGAGGTTCTCCAGCCCTTCCAGAGCGTTGTTGGGGACCCTGGAGATCTGGTTGTGGTCGAGGTGCAGCTCCTTCAGGGAGCGCGGCAGTGGGCCGGGCATGCGCGTCAGGTTGTTGTGGTCCAGGTAGAGCCTCTCTAGGTGCCTCAGCTTGGAGAAGACCTTCCTGCCCACCTTGTCACTGGAGATCTGGTTGCCGTGGAGAGCGACCCAGAGCAGCCCGGTGGCGTTGTCGAAGACGCCTTCCTGGATGGAGACGATCTGGTTGTTCTGGAAGTACACGTACTTCATGCGGGAGGGGACAAAGGGCAGGTACTTGAGGTTGCGGTTGTCACAGTACATGGCCGTGGGGAAGTTGGGCGGGCAGTCGCACTCCTGGGGGCAGTCTCGGGGCTCAGGCGGCGGGGGAGAGCCGTAGGCATAGGCAGGGCCTTCCTCCACCCCATAAGGGTAGGGCTCGTAGGGCTCGTAGGGGTACTGGTCGTAGGGGTCGTAGTAGGTGGACTGCTGGCTGCGGAGGTAGTGGAACCACCACTGGGGGTCTTCCTCGTACTGGGCCCGGGAGACGGAGCAGAGCCCCGCCAGCAGCAGGAGGGAGGCCCACTGCATTTTGTCTCCCTGCAAGAAGGAAAAGAGAACAGAACAAGCGGGGTGAGGGTCCAGGGAGGCAGTGGGCAGAGGGAGTCAAGCCCTGAGCCCCGCAGACCCGACTTGGCCTCAAACGCGACAAGACCAGGGGCCTTGTTCCCAAGCACTGTGCCTCCACCAGGGGCTCTCACACTTGGCTCAGCTGCTCCTTGGCCATCTGGGGTACTAGGTGCTATCCCCTTGGCCAAGAGTCACAGAGCAACACCTCTGCGATTAGAAGGAATTGGAATGTGGGTCCTGCATTTTTGGAGGGGCAGGCCCTTGGGAGCCTCTCCTACCAGAGGTCCCACTGGGGGAGCTGCAGAGCTCACAGCCGTTCCCGCGGAGGGCAAGGTGGCAGCAGCGGGGGCTCTTCTGGCCTGAATTCCTGGCCAGTTTGGACTCCTCAGGGAAATCATATTTTCCAAGAGTCCAAGTATGAAATAATCTTTTCCAAGACTCCAAGGGAAAAGCCTTCTGGTTTTTCCCGTCTCCGGGACACCTCCAGAGTGGCTGGAAACCTCACAGGGAAGATCTGAACTACTTCTGGAAGATCTTTTGGTCTCTGGGGCAGACCAGGGGCTTCTGGTTTTGAGCATTTCGGGAGGGGCGTGGTCCCTGTGCAGCCAGCATGGGCTTGGGCCCGCCTCCAGAATGCCAGCGTCTGTACTGTGTGCTGGGCGAGAACATTCTCTGGTTAGCAGTTTGTGGTCACACATGCAATTTGGCTAACCTCCAGGTAGCAGTTACAGATGCCCTCCAGGCTGGGGACAGTGGCACCCAGGCTGGCATTTGTCTTCTAGAGCCTGAGTCATCCCTCTTGGCTGTCTCTGTGGTGTCTAGTAAATGCGAGCACTTTCTTGGGCCCTGCCATGGACACTGCAGGAGCCACATGGGCCGAGGGCATGAATGAGGAACACCAAAAGATGGCACAGGGATTCAAGACCGTCATGTGTGCCCCAGGGAGTGTGGCTTTATAGTGGGGTTCTGATGTCCTCTCCCACACCAAGCTCCGTGGTGGTGCCGGGATAACCAGACTCCACATGCAGCTGGGCCCCATGCATTGCTGGGCTGCCCAGAGCTTGTACGCCAGTGAGATGAGAATAGGCAGACTTTCAAAGAACGGTGGGTTGGCATTAGTGAGGGGTCAGGGGGTGGCGTGATAGGCCTGGGCACCCTATTCTGAATACCTGTAGTGCATGCACTGCGGAGCCCCTGTGAGCACTGAAGATACCTGAAAACTGCCCTTGGCCCTGCAAGGGTCATGTGCTCCCTCGCAGTGTGGTGGGCCTGGCTGGGATTGACCGTGCATGGGTGGGAGGAGGAAGGATGCTAAAAGCCCACGTTAAAGCCGATGAGCTGACGGAAGGACTCTGGAACACCTAATCTTGTCACCTCTGGCCATTATCCCTCCCAGACCCCAGGCTTCGCTGTCCCCTCAGTGTGGTTCTCCGAGGCCCGCTTCATCCCACCGGCCTGCAGAGAAGAGGCGCTTGGCTCATCCTCAGGTAGCTCAGGCTAGGACAAAGAGCACACAGTGTTTCTGAGAGGCCGACCCAACTGCCCACGGCCTGGGCACGCTGGCTGGGCCTGACTCTGGCCAGGAGAAGAAGGATGGAGCGGCCCACTGCCAACAGCACATTTTTCCACGCGTAGCCCTGGGCTCTGCAGGACCATGGTGGCTGTCTGGAGCTGGCACAGTGAACCTCTGTCTCCGTTTCTCCTTCTGACAGACTGGGCATCTTGGCAGACAAGAGCCACCTTCCTCTTCGAGACTCAGCTTTCCAGTCCACGTTGGCCTCTCCTTGGGAGCCATGACGGCTGAAGGGGTGTGATGGGGAGCGCACGCCTCTCTCGGCCCCACCCTATCTCTTAGCCACGCTGCTCCAGGGCTGTTCACTCCCAATATCCCCACTGATGCCAGGGACCCTTCTGGGCTCAGAGCATCGTGGGGTAAAAAGTTTTCTGGACAGGCACTCTCTGAGTTGGGGGGGCTCACTCATTGTCACTGCTGTCCCTTTACTTCCCCACTCTAGGGAACCAGCTGTCCTACCTATCAGAGTCCACGAGGTCAAACCAGAAGCCACCCCCTCACCTGGATTGGCCCTCTGCCTCTAGCTTTAATTTCTCCTTGTCACCCCAGCAACACACACACACACACACACACACACACACACACGCACCCCATACCCCCACACACCCCAGCAGTGTTTAGTACCACAACCGTCTGTGAGGAGCCTGCAGGGACACAGCAGGGGTGGGGCTATGTGCAGTGGAGGGCAGAGCTGGCTCCCCAGAAACCTGGTCCTTTGCTTGCTTGTGCCTGAGAACTGGAGCAACCCCCGCCCCCCAAACAGAAAAGGAATGTAGGACAAAGGCAACACATTGGAACCCCTTCTGTCAATTCCCTTAGCTCCTCTCCAGCATCCTGGGGTCTCTGCCCAGAGGCGGAATGAGGAATGACCCCTCCTTTCTGCCCCTCTCCCCACTCCCGTGCCTTATTTCCTCTGTGGAGCTACCAGGAACAAAAAGTGAAGGAAAATGACTAAACTTACCTCGAGGTGAACCTTTCCGAGTGACCACGTCCCTCAGTCTGGCCTCCTGGGGCTGGAGAGCGGTGAGAGAGGAGGCGCACAACACTGAGAGTGTGCAGGTCCGTGCCAGGCCAGGTCCCGCCCCGAATTCCTAATCAAATATTGTGGAGAGGGGCTGAGGGCTGCAGGGAGCCCAGCCTTTTCTGCTCTGCTGCAGGGGCGGGACTCACACTCCTCTGAGCAAACCCTCTGAGCCTGACGCTGTAAAACCACCTTCTTTCCACTCACTTATCTTCCCTGAAGCTTTGGCAGCTCTGGCCGTCTTTCTGCTGAATGAGTTAGTGGCGCCCTAGAAGTTATTTGTACAGCCTCTTAGGAAGTGCCTGAATTTCTCATTAAACCCACAGGGCAGATGCGAGGATGGGGAGGGCCAGGATTTGGGAAGAGGCATCTTAACTCTTCCAGAACCCCTGGGTCCCCCCAGTCACCCTTCCCTGCTCAAGCGCTCCCTGGCAGGTAAGACTCAAGGCATCTGGCTCTGGCTTCTGTTCTGCCCCTGGTTCCAGTGTAGACACAGCCGTGGAACCCCGGGTCTCCAGGGCACCCCCTCACCCCCCACGGAATACATGGCAAAGAAGGAAACTCATACTCTCTGTGCCCTCTCGTCATATAAGGGCTCACAACACCCTCCGGGTTAACACATCTTAGGGGTGTGGTGAGGGCTCCGTGAGGAAATATGTGGAGGCACTGGGCCTGGCACACAGATGCTGCTCAAATGTGGGCAGGATGCCCACTGCGCCCATTTAATGGGTGGGGAGATCCTGCGCAAGGGGACAACAAGGTCAGAGGATCAGGCAGGTCCTAGACTGCAAAGGGATTGTAGCCCATGGAATGGGTTTCATTTTTATTTGAACTGTTTAAACACAGCATGCTTCAATCAGGGCAAGAGAAAGGATCTGATTCACATTTTTTTTTTTTTTTTTTTTTTAAGATTTATTTATTTATTTATACAAGCACTGGGTACAGTCAGAAGCGCGGGAGGGTGAGAGAATTCACCAGATCCAGAGCAGGGAGCAGAGCAGGCAGAAGGACCGAAGTACACTGCTGAGGGGAGCAGCGGGCGGCAGGAGAGGTCTGCGCGCCATGTGGGACCCTCCTCCGGTGGCCGGGGAGTAGCCGGGGATCGAACCGGCGCTGCCGAGGCTGCGGGCAGCTTCGCAACCCAGCGCTCAACCGCTGCGCCACCGGGGAGGCCCCTGATTCACATTTTTAAAGCACATGGGAGGGGCCCCGTAGGGGGAGGGGGGCACAGTGAAGCAGGAGGGCCTGGCAACGCCGTGGGAGGGGTGTGTGTGGTACTCAGCACACACCTGGCATGTCTTGAAGAGGCAGCAGATATAGGAAATTGGGAAAGTCAAGGACAAGCCCCAGTTTGAGCTACTGGGCGGTGAGTGCCGCTGTTTCCTGACATTGGCGAGATGGGGAGACACAGAGTGGGCTGGAGACCAAGGTGGGCTTGAGAGGGGCAAGGCCAGAGATGCTTCTAGGCTCTGCGGTGGATGGAGAGACAGTCCAGGGGCTGGAAGAAACCATTTGGAGCACAGAGAGCCTCAGTAGTACTGGCGAGCCCGTGTGTGCCAAATGCCCCCATGCTGCCCAGTGCCAGCATCAAGAAACACCCTTTATTTATGTATGTTTATTTTTGGTAAGTCACACACATACAATGCACCATCTGAAGCATTTTTAAGTGTACAGTTCAGAAGCAAGTATATTCACACTGCTGTCCAACCAGCCTCCAGAACTTTCTCATTTTTCAGAGCTGTACCCATGAAAGAAAAATTTCCCATTTCATCCTCCTACCAGAGCCTGCAACCACCATTTTCCTTTTCTTTCTGGTTTTATGAATTCTACTTAGTTGCCGCCATAAGTGGCATCATCTGCACTCGTCTCTTTGTGCCTGGCTTGTCTCACTTAGCAGGATGTGCTCAAGGCTCATCTGTGCTGTAGTAGGGGCCAGAATCTGGGATACACATCTTGTTTATCCCTTCATCTGCTGACAAACATTTGAGTTTCTCCTCCCTCTTTTTTTTATTTAAAGATTTATTTATTCATGCATACAAGAGCTGGGGTGCAGGCCAGAGGTGCAGGGAGAATGAGAGGATTCACCAGAGATAGAGTGGGGAACAGAACAGGCAGATTGACTAAAATACACTGCTGAGGGGAGCAGCAGGTGAGACAGGAGAGGTCTGCTGTGCCTGTGGGTAGCTCCCTGGCCAGGAATCGAACTTGTGCTGCAGTGGCTGCAGATAGCTTCATAGTGGTGAGACTTAACCCCTTGTGCCACCAGGGAGGCCCTGCTCCCCCCGTAATTGTTGTGAAGGGTGCTGCTGTGACCTTGTTTTTACAACTCCATCCTGAGCCCCTGCTTTTTGTTATTTTGGATATATGTATCTCAGCAGTGGAATTGCTGGATCACCTGGTGATTCTGTTTTCACGTGTGTGTCCCATAGTGGATTGCACATTTGCACAAGGGCTCATATTTGAAGGACCCAATTTTTTTTTTTAAATGCCAATTGAGAAATCCTCAAATCTTAATTCGGAGAATTTAGGGAGTCAAGAGAGCATTTTGGTCACCTCAATAGGTTTGAGCCGCGCAGGCTGCCAGAGAGGCCTGTCAGAGACCCACTCGTCTCAAGACTGACAAAGAGGTTTTTAAAAGACTGAACTCAATAACTGGGCCTTAGCTGACTCCCTACTGTAAATCAGGCACTTTTCTTATGTTATTTTATTTAATGATCACAGTAGGTATTTTGTGTGAGAAATAGAGGCGCAGAGATGCAAAATGACTTGATAGAAATTAATAAAACATGATTTTGAACCTTGATCTACATGACTCTAAAGCCCACATGCTTTCCCACAAAAGGCTGAGGCCGCTGGCGGGGAGGGGGTCATGATAACCCTGCTTTCGGGGCCGGACTCAAGTCACATGGAGCTCAACTAATTACAGTGCTCCATCTGCTTGAATCTGGGCTGGAATAAAGGCTTCTTTTCCTGACCCCAAACGTATTTCATTTCAGTTGAATAAGTAAGTGTGTTTACTCTATGCCTGGCATGGGCCCACATATTGGGGACACAAAGGAGTTTGCATTACAATGTCTGCTCAAAATAATGCAGGTGCATCAGCAGCAAACTCTAATCTCATAAGTGAGGCTGTGTGGCCTTAACATGAAGATGGTTATAAATAATGCACAGATAACTCTCTCGTCATTTCTGAGCTGAGGGAGCAGTCACTTTTCAATAAATACCCCGATACTGGCAATCAGGCCTCAGGGACACTTTCTAGATGGTCCTAGGTAGTCTGGGTGAAGCCACCCACTGGGCACAAATGTTTATTTGTTTTAAATCCCAGCATGCTGAATAGCACTGACCTTCTAACAGTGGAAGTTGGGGAAGTCTGGGGACCAAACATAGGCTGGGATCTTTTCCAACAGATTCCACCAATGAGGCAGTGACTCCATTGGTCTGTTGACCATTTCTACAGCAGCAAGACTTCCTTAGTCATCTGTCCTGCTTCAAGGTGAGCCTGGGTGGGACCCGGGACCAGGTCAAGAGGCAGAGTTCAGGGGACCCTCCACTGTTTGAACATTCCTCTGTCAATGGGTTCTGACCGTCACTGGCCTGGATCTAGGCCCTCAGAGTTTAGCTTCAATATGGAAAACCATATTGAAATCTGATGTCCCTCAGATTGTAGAATGAGCCCACATGCGAGGAGGTTCATCTGGGATACTGCATTTTGTGGGAAGTGTCAGACCAGCACTTTCCAGTCCCTGGACTGCAAGTTAACCAAAGAGAGAGGCCATGTTATTCCTCTCTATAACCCCATGGAAGTGGGATGCCTGGCACTTAGTAGGTAGTCAGTAAAGGGTGCTGAATGAATTGTATTTTTGGCTCCCAGTACAGTCTGCCCATCTTCAGTACCCAATTCTGGGTGGTATAACCACCACCAACCACACCAGGAAAATCCTTAGCTCTTTAGGCCAATTAGCTATTCCAGGGATTCAGGCCACTGCTATTTCCTCCCCACCCAGAAAAGCACAGGTTAAGCCACAGCCACCAGGCAAGGCTGACTGCCTCTGCCTACCCGTCTGGAAGGGATAGAATGCTTTCTGACCCAAAGTCCCATCAGCAAGAATGCAGTGACGTTGTTGTGGCCTACAACCCCTTCCTTTTCACCGCTCCCCCACCCCCGGCCCCAGCAGACCCTGTTCTCATGACACAGCCTTGATCACAAACAGCCAGGGGATGGTAGGCAAGACTGAAAATCCACCCAAACAGGATTTTTGAGTTGGCTTTGAGGAGGTCAGCAGAAAGATGATCATGGTGATACAATCCAGACCCTGCTGCTGGCCCATCCTGAACTCTCGATGCCAGACAGGGAGTTTTTACTAGTCTGGTGTTTTGATGGGAAGTCTTGGCTGCACTGGCACCCAACAATGGTGTCCCAGAGTTTCCAAGGGAGATATTTTTCCTTATACCCTTGCCATTGTGGGGTCGTTAGGAATCCTCACGATAGGTGGTCCCCTCTTTCCAGAAGGATGAGTCAAAGACACTGGAGGCAAACGCAGCAGGAAGAAGATGACAAGTTCTAGTTTCTGGGAGATGGACTAAAGTCTATGGAATTTACTTGTAATGAGCTCCTTAAAAACAAAGAGACTTTTCTCTCTTAATGGGTAACATCTCTTATTTTTACGTGTATTTACTACATGCCTGTAATTGTTGACATGATGATGGCATGATGGATTACAGAGACTCTACCTTCTAAAAGGATGTGTGTACTTGCGTTAGGAAAGGGGAGTTGGTTCAGGGAAAGGAACTGAATGCGGAAGGAGGCAGAGGAGAGCATCTGACATCTGCAGCTTGGAAGGTTTGTCTGTCACGGACTCAGTGTGTGACAGTCGTCTTTGTTCTGCAAATGAGTTAAGAATTAATGGTGTCCCTGAGGCCTGATGTAGACAGACCAGCTCTCGGGATGCCATGGAGGTAACTAGGATACCATGGAGGTTACGTGGCTGAAAGTGAGACCAGGCCTAGATGTTAACTCTAAAACAGCAGCTATCGGGCTTCCCTGGTGGCGCAATGGGTTAAGCCCAGCACTGTGAAGCTGCCCGCAGCCGCTGCAGCATGAATATGATCCCCAGCTGGTCAG